TTGGTGCAGCTCCCGGGGGGAGCACTAGCACTGAGGGCCCCGCTGCAGCAGCAGCAGCAGCAACAGGGATTGACGGCGGCGGCGGCACTGGCCTCCCCCAACGCACCCTCACCCGTGGACCCTCGTGCTCTGGCTCAGGCATTTAGGCACGTATGGGGGTCAGGCACGTATGGGGGGGACACAATCACAATCTCGCCCTCGAACGGGCCCTCGAACAGGGCCGTCTGAAAGAGCTCTGCACACCATTAACCGGCTCTGACACGAACTACGAACATCTGCACCACCGCCGTGTGCTAAACTGCCGTATTAAAAAATAAACCGTATTACTGTACGACATGACCGTACGACTGAGTCTGTCCGTACTTTCCGACTGTTTGGTTTGGTTCTCCAGGCCGCCGAGGACGTTAATGGACTTCTTCCGGAAGCCTGAGCCCGGGGGTGCTGCTGCTGGTCAGGGCGGCAGCGGCGGCACCCAGAGGGGGGATGGATCCGGAGGTGGTGCGGCAGGGTCTGGCTTGGTGCTACAGCTGCCGCTGGGGCCACGGGCGCTGGCGGAAATGGGGTTAGCGCCAGCGCCAGCGGCAGCGGCGGCGGCGGTGACGGGCGGCTGCCGGGTTCCGGGTGTGGGTACGCCGTTGTCGCGGTTACCCTCCTGTGGCGACAACGCCGGCGGCGGTATAGCTGAACCCGCCGCTGGCGGAGGCGGCAGAGGCGGAAGTACGATGGCGGCGGCAGGGCCGCCAGCCAAGCGGATGCGTGTGGGTACTGCGACGGCAGCGGCGGCGGCGGGCCGGCGGGGAGGTGTGAAGCAGCAGCAGCAGCAACAGCAGCAGCATGGATCCGGTGGCGGCAGCGGCATTATGGCGGCCTTTGCTCGGTGTCAACAGCTTCATGACCGGCAGCAGCAGCAGCAGGAGCAATGGGGATATGCCGGGGCTTCACGGCCTGCGACAGCGGTGAAGGGCGCCGCCGCCGCGCGATCACGATCGGCGGCGGTAGCGGCGCTGTCGCACGACGTCATCATGGTGGACAGCAGCGACGATGACGACGACAATGCCAACGGCAGCGGCGGCGGCGGCGGCGGCGGCGACGGCGGCGGCTGCCGTCGCGGTGCGGTCGGCGTTGCTAGGCGGGTAGCAGCCAACGTTTGCGATGCGGAAGGAGGATTGGCGCGTGGAGGCGGTACGGCGGGTGAGGGGGTTACGGCGGAGGCGGCGGAAGCTGAGAATGAGGAGTCCATTGGGGTTGAGGTGGAGGAGGAGCTCGAAGAGGAGGAGGCGGGCAGTAAGGGACAGGGGCCTTGTGGTGCGACCGGCGGTGGCGGCGCCGCCGGCGACAGTACGAGAAATGGGAACGACGGTGACGGCGGCGGCGACGGCGACGGCGGCGGCGAGGATGATGACCACGACCACGATGATGGTGAGGGCGATGGCGATGTGGACGAGGACTTCGTGCTGGAGGAGGAGGACGATGATGATGACGGTGGCGTTGAAGAACAGGAAGAAGACAACGACGACGATGACGAAGAAGAAGAAGAAGAAGAAAGGAGTGCAGGAGGTTGGCGACCTATCAGGGGGCAGCGGCGGCGCGGCGGTGCATGTGGAGCAGGTGGGCGAGGAAGTCACGGCAATCGTACAAATCTCGGCCGTGGCGTCGACGGCGCCGCCAGAGCCAGACGAGGGTCAGCGGCGCCGTCACGACAGGGAGCTGGGGTCCGTGGCGGTGGCGGCGAGCACGGCGGGGACAGAAGAAGCGGCGGCGGCGCCGCCGCCGCCACCGCCTCCGCGGTCGCACTGTCCCAGCTCAAGGGCATGGGCTTCCTTTCTCGTCAGGCGGAGAAGGCGCTGTGGATGTCCAGAGGGGACTTTGAAAGAGCGGTGGAGCTGTGTTTGCAGGGCGTGTGAAGTGATGTGACGTGATTGGTTTGGTTTGGTTTGGTTTGGTTTGGTTTGGTTTGGTTTGGTTTGGTTTGGTTTGGTTTGGTTTGGTTTGGTTTGGTTTGGTTTGGTTTGGTTTGGTTTGGTTTGGTTTGGTTTGGTTTGGTTTAATTCTGTGATGTTTTTTGTGAAGCGGTGGAGGGGTTGAGGGCCAAGAGACCCTCCCTCGCAAAGGAGGGAGGGAAGGGGCTCACAGGGGCTCACCGGGGCGCACAGAAAGGGACAAACTACCGGTAAGACACAGGGGGTTGTTTTTGTTGTGGTAGGGGGGAGTTCAGCGAAAGGGCGTAAGAGGGCGCTCGATTCTGCTCGGTCTGCGTTACCTTAGTCCAGACAGAAAGGTGAGACATGTCTCCTGCGCTTGTGTTTGTTGTAGAGCATTTCAAGCGAACAGTGTGTCTAGTTCAATTCAAGACTATATTTTTGTGATGGCACGGCAGGCTGGCCGTGGGTGGACCGGGAGGGGTCTGTGGGGAGAACCGGGTTAGGGTGTGGCCCGTGGTTCTTCAGAGGGAAGTAGCTCAGCTGAGGCTGAATGGGCTGATTATTCAGGATTTTGAGGGGCCTGAAAATTATCTGATGCCAAAAGTAACCCAGAACGTGGGAACGTTCTTTGTTGGGACGCCGACAGACGGTGCCGACAGTTGATTTGTTTTCATGCAGGTGCCTTCACCTATTCCGAGAACTATTTGGCAATTTCTTCCTGTACAAAAGTTTATAATTGCACCCTCTTAACACCGATTACGCCACCCCAAAACAGCTCGAGCTGCATACGAAATTTAGGCTGTCACATATAATTGGTTGCCACCGTTGCTAATTTTAGGCGTTGTATCAGCCCGGAAGCGTTAAAGCTTGGTTGGCCGTAGAAATGACCTCCGATGGCCATCCAAATCACAACTAGTGAATACCGTTATCGACATGGCATCAAAGATGCTCCGCAAAGATCCTCGAACCCTTGGAGCGTTCATAGGATCTGGCACAACTCATCCAGCTTTAAGCTTTCGTGCTGGTCCCACCTGGACGCGGATCGTACAACCCCCTGCGGCATCGCAACGTGACAGAGTCCCTGGCGGTCTGGGCACATACACCTTGAGCCCCTTAGCGAAGACCATCAGAAGAGATCGTCAAGACCTAGGAGAGGCAGCTGCCGTTGACAAGGAAGGGTGGAAGCCGCAACATGGAAGCCTTAGTCGTCGGTACGTACAGTCGTCACAGTCGCCGCAGCTGGCACCTCGCGTCGCCACACGTACAACTGCCCCGCCAGCGGCCAAGCAGACGCGACGAGACTCGTTGAACATGTATCCCCGGGACCCAGATCGCAGCTGGTCGAAAAGGCCGCAGCAGGTGTCGGACAAGGCAGGACGGTGTCCTCCCCCCTCTCAGCGCCCCCGATCCGCTGGGGTATCGGAGGAGAAGGCGCCGCCGGTGCCCTCAACAACCGGGCACAAACCCCGGCGACTACAGTCCTTTACCACGCCACCGCCACAGCAATCGCCGCCGCCGTCGCCGCCGCCAGGCGCCGTCGCCGTCGCAGATCTCCGCTCCGAATTGGGTTGTGCGCGGTTCGGCTCGTGCTCGGGATGCAGTCTGCAGGACGGTCTGGCGGCGCCGCCGCTGTACGGCGAAGCTGTGGAGTTCTTCCGGGGACTTGGCCTGACGGAGGTGCCGGCCGTGATGAAGGTCAGCAGGAGCCGCACTAGGGGTGGGCGGTTGGGTGGGGGGAGGTGGTGTCAGTGGCCAGCCTCAGGGCTGGTGATGCTAGGGAGCGCGAACAAAACGGCTCCCGCCCGGGAGGCACGAAGACACTCACTGGCAGCAGCAGCAACAGCAGTAGCAGCAGTAGCAGCAGTAGCAGCAGTAGCAGCAGCAGCAGCGTGCATGTGTGTTTGAAAGTGCGAGGTGAGGGTTGAGGTGAGGCGAGGTGAGGAGCTCCCAGTTTCGAGGAGAGAAGAATTCAGGGCGGGAGGGTGAAGGGACACTCGACCGCCAGGTGCAACCTGTGCAGCTCTGTGCAGCTGTTGTCATATCTCCGTACACACATGTACATGTATGGGGGGTAATGCTCGTTTCACTGTTCCCTCGGCCGTCGCCCCCCGCAGCACCGCAACAGCAGCCGCCATTGCAGCGGGCGGGGCCGGGACGGGACAGGCAGCGCGCCGGAGCTGCCGACACCTAGGGGGGGGGGCAGCACTGACGGGGCTGGCGATGATGATGCCCCCCTAGTGCCGGTGCCAGGCAAGCCGTGTGTAATAGCGCACCGTCCTAAACACCTCCCTCTCTATCTCTCTAAATGCGCAACAACAGTAACAACAACAGCAACCAGATACATGACCCGCGTTGTGTGTGCGTGTGTATGTATGTGTGTGTGGTGGCTTGCGGGGGTCCCCACAGGCCGCACGTGGGTGGCGTTGTCGCGCCAAGCTGGCGGTCCGCGGACCCGTGGGTCGGCCCCTCATAGGTTTGTTCCGGGAGGGCAGCCACGAGGTCGTGGACATAGTGGGCCCCATCTCACCGCTGCCGCCGGCGTGTGGCGGCAGTGGCGGCGGCGGTAGTACGGTGGGGTCCCCGGGCGGAGATGCGGCCCTGAGCAGCTGCCGTGCTCACCACCCCAGAATCAACGAAGCAGCGGCGCTGATTAAAGAGGTGCGGTGGGTTGCAGCGGGAAGGGGAGGGAAGGGGAGGGAAGGGGAGGGAAGAGGTGGGAAGAGAGGGAGAGAGGGCGGGACGTCGTGCACAGGGGCCTGAAGGCGTTTCGTCCGCGCCGTCGGGCTGAAGAGCGTGCGTTATGACGATCTGAGCCGCGATGAGAGTATGTATGTGTGTGTGCGCCATGTTGTGTTTTGTCGCCTGGGTACGTTGCTAGGGGGGGGCCCGGGGTGTCGACAGTTCGGGCTTAGGTCGGGCTTCCGGAAGCTCTCCTTGACGGGGTAGAGGCTGAGGGCGCATCCCATCGTAAGTGTCGCGGACCACATTCATCCATCCATCCTTCCATCCATCACACCGCCCACTCCCCGCCCCACTCCAACCCGGTGTGTGTGCACCGCAGCTCGTAACTCAGCTACGAGTACCGCCGTACAACGAGTCCGGGCCACAGGTCGCTCGTGGATCCGCCGCTGCCGCAACAGTAACCGCCGTCGTTGGCAACCGCCAACTGTCACCAACGGTCATGTCAACTGCACGCGGTCAGGGCAGCAACCGCCCCAACGGCCTTCGGGCGCGGCGACGCGCCGGCAGTGTCGACCACTACAGTTCCAGCGAAATCTTCCGTAACGACGGCACCGGCGGCGGCGGCGGCGGCTTCACTGGAAGGCCGGGCACCGAGGCCGCCGCGGTGGCGGCCGGTGGTTTATTGCGGTACCTGCAGCTCACGGCGGTGCCCTCCCAGCCCGGGGGTCGGGCCGAAGATGACCCCCTCGCGGCGGTGCAGGTGGTCCTCGTCCTCAACGCCCCACCGGAGTGCGAGCCAGATGACCCGCGGGTCGCTCCGGTGCTGCAGCTGTGCCAATTGCTGTGGCGCCTCGCAGGCCCCGGGGGCCCTATGACGCCGACGGAGGACTCACCTCCTGCTACAGGGGCCACATGCGCCCCGGGACAATTACCTCAAGTGACGACTTCAGCGGCGGCGACATCGGACGCCCCAAGGGGGGTTGTAGAGGGCGTTGGAGCGCTAGGGACTGTGCAGCAGGGGGTGCAGCGGGGGCGGGGAAAGAAAGAGCCAAAGTCGAGGGCGAGGGCGAAGGCGCAGAAGCCGCCTTCCGTGGCCCCGCTGGTTCACTCCATCTGGCTGAACTTCCAGCCGGATGCGGCCCGTAACTCCGTCCTGGGGGAGGGCTGGCGCCACATGGCGGGTCCGGCGGCCGCCTGGCAGGAGTTCGGCGGGGTGGCGGCCTGCGTGGGGCCGGGGTCCTTTGTGCAGGCCAACTACGGCGCCATGCAGCTAGTGCTGGGGGAGATTGCGAACATGGTGGGTGGGGGGATGGGGGGGTGCGGGGGGGGAAAAGACGAACCACGTGAACGAATGAAGCTGCTACCAGGTCAAGAGTGTACAAGAAGTAGGACTGACCAAAAGGCGTTTTTAAAGGCGGCGACCTCGGGATGATGTAGTGAAGATGATGTCGGACAACTACCTACCTAGCCGATCAAGACTAAAAAAGCGCGGAAGAAAAGCAGTAATGTTTAAAGCCGTAAAGAAGGGGGGCCCAGGGGGGGCCTGGGGTTGGTGTTGGGCGTTGGTGTTGGTTGCGTGTCACGTACACAACCACCGTTTTAGGGGTACGGGGTGTGCGGTAGTTGGCCTTACCGTTGACCAATGCAAGGGAGTCCCCTCCTTTGCCTTTACCCCTCCCTCCTTCCTTCCCTCCCTCCTTCCTTCCTTTCCTTCCTGCTGGATCTCACTCCAACCCCATATATGGTTGACTTTGGCTCTACTGGACACGTCCCTTCTCCCCCGCCCCCCTCTCCCCGTCCTCCTACTGTACTTCCTCCACGGGGGGGGGTACCGCACTGGTCAGGTGCCGTACGGTAGCCGGGTTACGGAGCTGCATGCCGGCATTGGCGTTATCGGTCTGTCGTTGGCGACGCGGCGGCGGCTGGCGGCCTTACGCTGCGTGGAGGTGAACCCCGCGGCGGCTGAGCCGTTCAGAACCTCCCTGGAGCGGGCGATGAGGACGACATGGGCGAGCACACAAGAACAGCAACAGCAGCAGGTGGGTCGGGGGGCCGGTGGGTAAGTTACCCCCGGAGGGCGGAAAGGCTTCGGGGCTCCGGTGTGAAGTTATGGTCGACGCAGTACGAGTGTGTGCGTGCGGAGCTTGGGGTTGGCGGATAGCAGGGGCTGTCCAAGTCCAGATCCAAGTCCAGATCCAAGTCCATGTGGGATATTGCTCCTGTGCCCTGGTGTCGGGGGTCAGGCACCCGGAGCCGGGTTTGAACTGATATGAATGATGACTTCCATATGCCCCAATAGGGTGGACCAGCCATACCAAGAAGGCCTTGACCAAGCTGTCCAGAGCCGTCAGTGGCGGTTGTACGGATCATCTAATGGGGCATCCGCCGCCTCCGGCATTCGTTCAACCTTCATCCCCTGGCTTCACTTTACAATTGTTCACTTCACAACCACTCCCCTTTCCGCGCATTGCGCATTGCCCCTGTCTTAACCACCGCCGCCTCAATGCTGATGAAGAACCTCACCACTGCGCCGCAACCCAGGATGTGGCGGCGACGGCGGCGGCTGCCACCCCGGCTGGTGGGGACCTCGCACCACCGCCCCCTGGAGCGGTCCTCCCGTCGCCGCTTCCCCCCGTAGTCGAGTACCTGACGGCGGAAGCGGGCTCCCAACCAGAGCGCTTCCTGGAGGGCTGCGATGTGCTGGTGGTGGATCCGCCACGGAAGGGACTGGGGCAGAGCCTGCTGGCGGCGCTTACGCGGCAGCCGCAGTCACCGTCGCCATCGCAATCACCGACCCGCGGGTCGGTCGACGCCATCAGTAACGCACACATCCCCAGTGCAGGTGCTGTGGACCCTTTTAAGAGTGAGTCTGCATTGTCGTCGTCGTCATCATCATCATCATCATCATCATCATCATCAAAAGCAGCAGCTGCAGTAGCAGCAACAGTAGCAGCAACACACGGTGAGGCTTTGATTGGTGCCACGGGCCGCGGAGGCCCGAGTGCGGCGCCACGGGTGACAGCGGCCGCTGCAGGAGCGGTTCCAGAAGCCGCGGGCTGTAGCCCTGCGCTGCCGTCGCGGCTGGTGTACTTGTCTTGTGGCTTCCGGGCGCTCCAGGGGGACTTAGCGGTGCTGCTGTCGGGCGGGTGGCGGCTGCGTAGTGCGACGGCGTATTTGTTCTTCCCGGGGACAGACAGTTTGGAGACACTGGTGCTGCTCTCGCGGGGGGAGGGCGATGAGGCGGACCAGGAGCTGGAGGAGGGGCAGGAGGGGCTGAGGAAGGTGCAGGGGAAGGTGCAGGGGAACCGGACAAGGGGCGGTTGTGTGTGGGGGAAGGAATGTTATCCGGCCTAGGACGGAGGAGGCAAGCAAGTGGGGGGGGGAGGGAGGTAGCAGGGGCACCATGTGGGCGCGAAGCAGCATTGTTGTCAGTTGAGTCGGTTGGTCCGTTACGGTTGCTACGGGTGAGAGAAAGAGGGACTGCTGTGGCGCAACGTGTGTTGGATATGTGCGTATGTATGTCGGGTCTGGAGAACCTGGATCCTGTGTTTGTAGGGGAAGGGGGGCAGGGGCGAGGGATGCGCAGTTGGGGATGCAGCGCTCTCTTGCAGTTACGTGAGGCCGCCTCGTCGGGCTATCTGTGATGTTACCCGGGGGTGGGTGGGCGGGTGAGTGGGGGTGTTAAGGGAGGGGAAGCTCGAAGGCCGGTGCGACCCGCACACCCATGGGTGTGTCCTGAGGAGATGAGGATTGGCACACATATAAGGGACGGGGGGGGAAAGACGAACCACGAACGAGGGAGGGGGGGCGGGGTTTTTGCTGTCCTCCGGGTGTATGGGGAGGTCGTGGGGGAGGTAGCGGTGGTGAGTGGTCGGTCGTGGTGTTGGATGAGAGAGGATGATGCAAAAACGCGTTCAGAGCTAGCGTTTCCTTCTTGATTGGTGGTGGTGGTGGTGGTGGGGTGTTCTGTTCATGACTCGGTGCACAGCACAAACACCTTTCGCACGTAGGTCATTCACGACGTGTAATATACCCGGGGGTCGCACACAGGTTAGGGGCCCCGACATTAGTGACATAGCACTTCCTGGAATGGATGTTGTCGCCATCACAACACAGAATGCAAATTCAACCCCTCATTACAGAGCCAAATTACCGGCGGGCCCAAAAGGCGGGATTGAAGTCACAGGGAAACAAGATCCGCAGCCGGGTGGGTCGTCGCCAGGATGTGGCCGAGGTTGGTGCGTGCCGGAAACGCTTCTTAAAGCATAATACCACATGTTTTGATATTACGCTGCATGCAGCGCAAGACGCCTTGATTGATTTTATTGCAACGCGACAAAACACGACGTGAAGATTCGCCCAACACAACGTTTGCAGGGAACACCTTTCAACAGACGCTGTTAAGATGACTACCAGGCAGCACTCTGCAAAAGCCTTGTGGACAGAGTTGGAACCTCAGACAGACAGACAGACAGACAGACAGACAGACAGGAGGCAACACCATGATGGCCCACAATATATAATTACATCGCCAGATCGCCCACGCCGTCGTGAACTAGTCATGGTGATATCCGCATAACATCCTCACACGCGTACCGTTATATGCACACACAGCTCACGACACGTACATATGTATATACGCAAACGCACGACACGCAAACACATACACTGTATATTTACGTAATAAATATTATCGACACGGCCACACAGGGTGCTTACGTAGAGCCCAACAGCAGATGGAACAGAACAGTGAATCCCCATATGGCACCACCAAGTGCTGCTATATATATATCCGTGCAGATGGCCAGTGAACCTCCTAACCTCGGCAGCCATATACATAGCGGCTGAATCAACAAGTCCAGAAACATACTGTGGTGCTGCTCATAACCATATACATCTAATGTGCCTCCGTGCCCGCCGGAGCATGGAAAATGGGTCCCTGCGACAGCTCAACCATGAGCCGACTGTTACGGCCCCACTGCGACCCCACTGGGTGAATCTTTACAGTAACCGCCAGACCGCTGTTGACACGTAGCCCAGCCGGCGGCGCGGCAAATAAAGAGGAACGGCGGCCGTGTGTGTGAGGCGTCCATGGCGCTCGCAGTTGGCGGCGCATGGTTAGGGCCGTCGCCAGACAAAACAAGTGAAAGAGACCTCCTTCCTTTCTCCTGGCCAGATCGTGCATTGCTCCGCTGTCGGCTGCTGCTGCTCCAGGTACCCCTCAGTACCCAAGCTTTTTTACTTTCTGCCGTTTTGGAAAGCGCGTCGGGCTGCCCAAGCTGCCCCATGCTAACCGCCCCACAACTGCCACGCACAGGGCCCCTTCCCTTGTCCCGCGCCAAAGCGTCCGGAAAAAGCGTAAGCACGTTATCTCTCAACGAGGATGCGACTGGCGCGCGAAGGGCGACACAAATGGCCAACGCGCGTCCGGATCTCCTAATGGAATGGTATGTAATGGCGGGCGACCAGCAGCGATCCACGCGCCCACAAATGCGGACGGAAACGGACCCCCCCTCTGACCCCCAAAGCCCTAACCGGAAACTGACTCCTAGCTGCCGGGACAACCCCTCACGAAGAAGACCATATCCCAGCGAACATGCAGGGCTTGCCGTATCGCCATATCGCCACCCAACCTGCAATCAGCCCCATACAATACGACATATAAAATGAAGTAGTACCTCCGCTCGGACTTATTTAGTAGTTTGGCTGTCCGCGGAGTGTGCCACATCTCAAACCACAAACTGACAAGTTAGACCCTTCGCCAGCTCCTCGTGCTGTGAAGAGCAGATAGCAGTTCAATGTGCGCCAAGGGCTGTCGGGGAGTAGTTCTGTTGTAACCCACCATCGGCCACCATAGGTAATAAAAAGGTGCCGTCAAAAGCTCAAAGAGCTGAGCGGGGACACGTGGGATGCCGCACCACGCATTCCCCCACAACCTGACCCCGCCTGACACCCACAGTATGCCAACAAACCTTTCCGCGCGCGAGAGCAACTCACCCGAAAAGTGGGGCTTTATGAACGCAATGAGCGCCGAGCTGCCAAGCGCTGTAAGATGAGAAGCCTGGGCCGGCTAAGCCGCAGCGTGGTACACACCGAGCCACTTTCGCGCGGCCTTCTGGAGACCCGACCCGACCCGACCCGACATCAACCCGGAGACCTTGCCACACATAATGGAATCCTACGTGCACATACGGGTATAAATCCCGGTATGCCTGTATGTCTGTATGTGGCACTGTCCTTAAAATCAATAAGACCAACGCCACGACGATGACGGCATCCGCCGGTACACAACACAGGAAAAGGTCCGGGAGAGATATTGAGCGCAGCAACAGCAGGCATTCCTGGTTGTCTACATTCCGCCCGCGGGTAGGCGGGTTGACTTCCAGCCGTCAAGACCCCTGCAGGGGGCAACAATCGGCCCCTGCGTCTGGCGAACCAATGGCAGCACAGTTTCACCACCAACGCAGCAACATGCACAGCGACGTCAACGCCTCCCTTGCCGCCATACATCCATTCGATTAAAACGACCTGTGCAGAACCCAAAACATATACTCCGTATTATGAGGACAAATCGCCGGCATGCCGCTGCGGCTATGTGTGCCATTTCTCGTATCATGGCGCTCGGCGGCTGCACATCGTTTTCCTTGCGAAGGATGAGGAAACCAGCAGCAGTAGCAGCAGCAGCAGCAGCAACAACTACAATACTTTGTTCACAAACAGCAGCAGCAACAACAATAACAAGGAAATCACCAAAGAACAGAGCATCCCGTCAGGCACAAGACCGCAGAGCGAAACGGACGACGGTGCAATCAATCCGAACGCCCCGTCTGCGTTCCCCACCTGGGCGAAGTCTGCTGCGCCTGTGCAAGGGCTCCCAAACGCCAAAACCCCAAAAAACCCCAACTTCAACCAAGAGCCGTGCTGCTCATCACCACCCCGAGCCAATAACCGCTAACAATATTCCTGTGCATTCCTGTGCATTCAAAGCACACACGTTTATTTGGTGTGCCAGGACCAGTCCCCCCCCCCCTAGGGCACTCCCCCTGGCGCCCCACCCGCCGGATGGTCCATGCGGGAAGGGAAGGCAGTGCGGGGCAGTGAGGGAATCAACCCCGCACTGGGCGACCGCGGTGCGGCGGGCGCCTCCCAGGGAGCCCCATACTTCCAACTACTGCACTACGGCTGCAACCCCTGCGAGACGGAGAGGTTAAAGGCGGCCGCAACCAACCAAAGCATAGCCGAGCTTCCTCAGCCCTCCCTGCAAGAGAAGAGAAGGGGATAGTTCAGCGCGACGGCCTTTTTTTAAGCCGGCGCGTGGTTCTAAGCCCCTAGCCCCTAGCCTAGCCGCGGGACGAAAGCGAAACAGCAGATTGGTGAGGTGCGCTGCAGCGTGCTGCACCGGGCGGGAAGATCTCGGCCGGCGGACATGCAGCAACGGAAGGGGTAGCGTCGCTCCTGTTACTTACCCAGCTGGTTTAAACAACTTAAACTTATGCCTACAAGACACATAAGCTTATTGTCATAATGTCCCGGCCACAAGGCGCTAAAGTGTTCTTGACTGCAGTTCTTTTCTTTTCTTCTTTAGTCCACTGCAGGGCTTCAAGCATCATGGAAGTTTCACGTCCATGATAACACATGGAACACACGGAACACCCAGCACACACAGTTGAGGCAAAAGACACGCAGTTGAGATGGAATTCTTAAAAATGCGTGCACAGTTTGTACTACTTCTTACTTGTGCTCGTCCTCATGCAGCGCTGGCAGCGTCTGCGCAAGGCCGGTGCCGCCACTGCCGCCCAGACGGATGCCCAACTTCCGCAGCTGGCGCTGGGCCATCAAGTTCTTCATCCTGCTGCGATACCCCACTGATGCGTGGCCGGAGCCCAGACTTAGCAGCACATTACTGGCCCGGAAGCCGCTACCGTCACCGCCACCGCCACCGCCACCGACGCCGCTGCCATCACCGCTCGGGTCCACACCCAGAACGATGCCGGCACCGTACAGCGTCGAAACGCCGCCGTTGCCCAAGCTGACGCCGCCAGACACGCCCGCGTTGGGCAACTGCTGCGCTACGGCGTTGCCCAAACAGCTGCCCTGGCCACGCACACCGTCGTTGCTTGGGTTGGGGGTCAAGGGCTGCGGCGGTGCGACGTTCAGCGGCCTCGTTTCCCCTCCCATCTCCTCCCTCATGCGCACCAGCTCCGCCAGCACCTGCTCGAAGGAGGGCCTCTGCGCCGCGTCCGGGTCCCAGCAGCGGGCCGCCAGGGCCACGTAGTCGCGGGGGGCGAAGGGCGGGAACT